GAAGTTAAATGGAATATGTTATGGGGATTTAGTCTTCATACACTTATAGCTAGTTTTGGGAATTGGCATATGTTGTGTTACAAGTCCTCTTTAAACATTGCGATTCAAGATCTGATTAGTTTCAGCCTGACCCTACGAGGATCATCTTCTGTTATCACTGATAACAGGTTGGTCGCCGATCTGTTGGTTTCCGGCTCAACTTTAATTTATTCTCGCTACTCAACGTAAGGCCTTAGCCCTGTGGGTTGAATTGTTTCTTTGGGGTTTTTACCCGGACTTTTACAAAATGGCCATTTAAAAAGGACCGAGTGTTTATTCTGGAAGGTTGGACAATGGTTTGGGCTTGTATGGATGAGGCAAGGGGTGTGGGCGCAAAGTGGTTGAAGTTGACCCCGTGTAGTGCGTGGTCTGTTGATGTGAAATCCTTGATGTGATTGCAGGTATGATTGTGGTTCAGACTCTGGATTTGACTTGCTTGCGATCACGTATATATGTTTGAAGGAAGTGACACTGTGATTGTGAGAAGTGATAGTCTCGTGTCTTATAACCCTATATATATATAGAACTGTCTGGTAAACCGTAGGCAGAGAGAGAGAAGAGGACAACAAATGAGGGGCTGTGACAAACTGTTTCATCGGAGTTTCACCGACTCATCAGGAGGCTGAACCCTCAACAGTCTGCAAAATCCCCTCACTGATTACACTGTAAATGATAATCTACCTTAACCAAAATCAAAGTAGACTATCACTCACCCACACCAGATGAAAAACTCTACAGACTGTCGGTTCACACCCCATCACAAACCAGCGAAACATCCACGAAACAAAGAAAGGTCTGTCACAGCCAAAAAATATACTCCAGACATATATATATTTCCAGTGTCCGTGCGGTCTACTGCGACCATGCGTAAGGATCAAGCAGATTTGTGTTGAGAGAAAACGGAGATCCCCTTTTTGCCTTTTGCTTTTTGGAATTGTTATAGTTGGACGTTGAAGTCCGTGGTGGCCATCAAAGTCAAACCCCTTGACCTGTTTTCAGGAGTCAATGATGGAGCTCGTCTCCAGGGCCATAAGCGTTTGGCCGCCACAAAGGGTCAGAGCCCGTCTACCACCCACTCTCCGCAGGATGCAGAAGAGGGTAGGACTCTCAACCCCCTTAGCGGTTGTCTAGCGTCGAGAGATTAATCTCTTTAGGCGTGTGTCAACCGACACTTGCGTGTCAAAAGTGACCCTCGAGACCCTTAAGGGTCATGCGATTATGGGTGCTACATAGTACGCCGTCACTGTGACTGCTTTCGTATTCACTCAATAGCTAGTCGATATGAGGAAGCCCGCGTCCGCACAGTTATTATTCTAAGTCCACCGCGCGATGCCTAACCGATTTTTGTGCCGGAAGCGTTATGGGTTGAATACATAAAGGGACTAGGAGTGTTTGTGTGAGCAATTTGATTATTTATTTTGGCGCGATGTAACACGTGGTAAGAAGGATGCGTCCTAGTCGATCAGCGTTGAGTCGTGCTTGGGACGCCAACCCCCCAATGCGTCGATTGGCATGCAGGTCCAACAGAGGTGTGCGACCACGTGTGCCCCTTATGCTACAGCGTACGAGAAACGCCCACGGCTGGGCCACCTCTGCGATTGCAACTGAGTAACTTTCGCATGTGGTTCAGTAGCTCGACGGGGATACGCCCGTTCAAGGGTGGTGACAGCCCCTTGGGCGGAGGTAAGTTGTACCTCGCGTGACCCTATCCTGTCGTAGGGGTTCGCGAGAGGTATGGCTGACGCACTTGGCCGGAGCGGCGAAAAGCTCCACCATGAAACAAGTCCTGCACGAATCCTGCGTGACGCAGCCGGAAGGGTCCCCCTGTGGGACCGATGCGCTCGACACCGTGACCTGTAATTTGTACGTTTGGTTTGTTAGCTTTGTGCCCTACTGGGCTTGATCCTTAAACATGTAGTTATTAGTCTCTATTTGGCAGTCGTAGACCCTTAGGCTTTGCTGTTTTGTCGGTTTCTGCAGTTGCTGAAGTCAACCCAGGGCTTGATCCCATTACCTGTCCTGTGTTTGTGGTGTTTGACTGTTTATGAGTCTCATTGGGCTTGAACCTTGAACCTGACACTAGTAGTCTCTACTTCGTAGTCTTAGGCCTTTCAGCCTTGTTGTTTTGTCTTTTTCTGCCCTTCTGGAAACTGGTAGGCCAGTAGGTCTTTCTTTTGTGTGTCCTAGCCTTGGGTCCCCTTAGTCTACGCTTCCATCTAGATGCATGTAGGTAGATCTTGACTGTTTGGCTGTACATGTTTGCTGTTTGGACGGTCAGACAGGTCTGTAGGGGGCTGCTGTGTTGTAGTTCTAGGGAAGTCAGGTAGAAGTAGGCAAAGGCCGACGAGTTTGGGGTTCTTTTGGTTGTTTTCGTTGCTTTTTTCTCAGTCTGGGTGGAGGTCGCATTGCTTCCCTGCTGTGCTATTGTGGGCATGTATGCAGGGCATCTTCTCCACATGCCGCTGGCGGCCATAGCTGGGGCCGGCCAACTCGATTGGTGACAAAGCTGGGCTCGGCGCCCAAGTGCTGATGAACGCTTCCTCATATTTGTGTGCTTGTTGGGGTTTGGTCAGCTGCAACCGAGGCTGCACTTTCAGCGGTTCTTCTTCGACGTGGAAGAAATTCATCTTCATCGAGTTGTTCTTCTTAATCATCCTGGGAGCTGCGCTCCCCTGCTGAGTGGGCACTTCATCTGCAGTGGGCTTCTTGAGTGGTGCAGAGAGGGGTGTTGGATTTAGGAGGGTGTGTGGCGACTGGCAGGCTTGATAGGTTGGGTGCTTCCAAGCACCATAGCTAGAGCTTGAGGAAGAGGGAGGAAGAAGAAAACTCCCGTATACTTCGATGAAATCTTGTAAATAATTGGTCCGTGCGTGTTGGTAAAGTGGTTGGGCGTGGAAGTTTGGGCTGTTCATTATTGACTTCGGGAGAGGCGGTTATTAGAAATTGATTTTAATTTCAATTCTATTTTCGGTGCTTGTGTGCTTCTGCTGTGTATTTTATCATCCAGTGTGGTGTGTATTGCTCCCTCCAAAGGTCACTTGTCACTGCGCTTTTGTATGGGAACGTGTGGATGCTATGTTGGATCTCGTTTCAATCAGGCACATAACACACACACACACACACACACACACACACACACACACACACACACAGACACACACAGAGACAGAGAGAGAGAGAGAGAGAGAGAGAGAGAGAGAGAGAGAGAGAGAGAGAGAGAGAGAGAGAGAGAGAGAGAGAGAGCACCAACCCCTCACATACCCCCTTCCGCCCGCCACCCCCCATGAAATGAAACTTCTCCGTTGATGGTTTTCTTTGCGGATTCGAGGAGAACTCGGCAAGCGCAGCTCAGCCGCGAATACCGAAAAAAACAAAAAAAAAACAAAAAAAAAAAACTGGACCTGTTTTGGGCCCAACTGGAGCTTCGGTTGGACCACCTGGGGTCAACCCGGCCCGTTTGGATCCGGGTCGGTCCAACAGCCCGGTTGCCGGCACAGCCCTGTTTTTTTTTTTTTTTTTTCTGAAGGGGCAATTGCAATCAGACTCGCTATCTTCACACTTCACATATATGTAAACAGGTTGCGCAGCAAACTGGTGATAAGCGCCCACTCAGAACTCAGAGATATGGTTGCCAAGAACGCAGTTCAGATACAAGCTCACTTCGAACAACTATGGCGCAACAGCGCCTGTACAACTCTCTGTTCATCGCCAACCCAACTCTGCTGTTCACACACACACACCGGATCACCCTGGATATCCCACACGCATCACACATACACGCTACACTCTCCTATCAGCTATGGCGGCTATGGCCGCTACTACTCCTATCGCTATGGCTAAGCTCTCCTTCTCGCCCACTTCGTCTTCGGGCTCACTGCAGACCACCTCGCACAAGTCGCTGTGGCAGCGCTTCCGCATGGCTTCCGCAGGAATGAATGAATGGCTGGATGCTGCCTCTTGATTTATACTTCTGTATCTCGTTGGTCTGCCCCTTTCCCACGTCCGTGGTGCACACAGTCCCATGCGGTACTTGCTTGACTGGACTAGGACTGACTGGGACTGGGACTGCTGACTCAGCACGGGTGAACTCCACCACTTGCCCACTTGCCTCAGCCTAAACGTGAGCAGCTTCGAAAGGCCAGTACCAGGATCTTCCGGAAGTTTCAGTCCTGGCCTTTCGGATACTGTAGCAGCTCCGACCTTGACCCTTCAGGACTGTAGCAGCTACGACCTTGACCCTTTGGAGGAGCTATAGCTACGACTTCTAGAACTTGCTACGACTCCTATCCGACAGGTCTACAGATCGAACCCCTATACCCTACAGACCTACGACAACCTACCACTGTGGGGAAAGAGACAGGTCGTGGGTTCAACTCTCGGGGTGGACACAGATACTGTACACAGGTAAGGTGATGGTCTAGGGATCGAGCCCTGGGACTTGCATCCGCTACTGCGAACAGGTGAATACCGTTTCACAATGGTGGCCGCGGCACAAACGATTTTCGAATAGGCAAAAAAAAAAAAACACGAGCCGGCATAAGAGACAGCCACCGAGTTCGAAAACGCAATGAAAGCACCATGGCCGTGACAGAGGCACAGATGTCATAACTACAGGGGCAGGCTGTGATGCCAGACAAGAAAGCGGTGGGCGGGGAGAATCTATTTTGAGTCTTTTCTTGACTGAAATTGTTATTTCAAACTCTCACCATGAGCACAGTGCCATTTAGTGTTTTTTTTTTTTTTTTTTTTGCCGTTTTGAACTCAAAACCTGCTGCGTCTGCTCGACTCTGCTGTTATTTCTTTTTTCTTAAGACTTGAGCCAATACACTTTTAGAAAGCAAGGAATAACTTCAAGTTGAGGACGCATGGGCACTTCTTTTGGAATTGAATCTCACCTTACATACTACATCCACACTGAACAAACATGGAGCAATAGGTGGAACAAGAAGGGGCAGTCATACCCGTCAAGCGTGACAATACTCGTAGTGTTTCCAGTCCCATTTCCACATGCATCACCAACAACTGATGGAGCCACCACAGAAGCAACTGGATTCTCTATCTTGTCAGGCCATTCCAGTGTTACTGACATTCTTTCATCAAACACCTGGTTGTTAACGGTGAGCAGTCCATCTTTTAGTAAGGCCAAAGCTGATCCAGGCCCTACTGTTGCTTGCTGTCCAAGGGTGACTATCAGGACAGCTTTGTCCGCATTATCAACAAGGCAATTAGCTTTTGCACCCAGGAGCCTGTCGCTGTCACGGAAAATTTTGTCGCAGAAGTTTCTCATAGGTGCTGCCGGTGTATTCAGGAGGACTGTAATCTGACGCGAATCACTGCTCATCTGATTCAAAGAAACAATATGAAGCATGCCAACCATTCAGAATAACCATAGCTGACATTCATGGCTCGATTACGAATTTACGATGCCTATCAGGGTTGAGACCCGCAATTTCATGATACTTCAAGCCTGCCGATAATCATGACAGAAGCTCAATAATCAATAATGATGAGAAACAATCTACAAAAACTTCCATCCACCGCAAAAGGAGCAGTGTGAATGATTTTTGGGGCCGGGTAAAGCTGTCCAGACTGGGACGGACTGTCTAGGTCCGGGCTGCCCGGGTGACCGCCAGGGGCCCGGAGGAGGTCCCAGGCGACCTGGCCGTGCAGGGCACCCGGTTGGGGGCCGGGGCCCCCCAGCACACTCACCTGTCGGGGGGGTTCGGACCCCCTTTTGGCTGGTATTGGCCTCCCGCAGGGCTACCAGGTCCGACCGGCCCAAGAAACCGTCGCGTCGGGCCCCGTAGGCCTGCTTTTTTTTTTTTAATTCGCGCCGGCTCTGTTGGCGCCAATCTTGCCCCCCGTTCGAACCTCCGATCAGCTGGGGTGGTCTGCCACTCGCCCCACAGCACGATCGGAGTTGGTGCCGACTTGCTGCTGCCCCATCCTGCTGCGCCGTCGCCCGTCGCCATCGCCATCGACTGTCCTGCTGCTGCTGCTACGATGAAGGCCCCAACTGTCCTGCTCGGACCTGCTGCTGCTGCTACGATGAAGGCCCAGACTGTCCTGCTGCTGCTGCTACGACGAAGGCCCCGACGACAAAGGCGCCGTTCTTCTTCTTCTCCTTCTTCTTCTTCTTGTCGGAATCATCTAGGGTTTTTGTAAGACGGGGAGACGAAGGCCCTGCTGCTAGGGTTACTGTTGCAGGTAACGACGAGGGCCCCGACGACAAAGGCGCTGTTCTTCTTCTTCTTCTTCTTCTTCTTCTACTTCTTCTTCTTCTTCTTCTTTTTCTTCTTCTTGTTGTCGGAATCATCTAGGGTTTGTGTAGGACGGGGAGACGAAGGCCCTGCTGCTAGGGTTACTGTTGCAGGTAACAACGAAGACCCTTTCTTCTTCTTCTTTTTCTTCTTTTCTTCTTTTGCTTCTCCTTCTTCTTCTTCTTCTTCTTGATCATTTGGCAGGTCACGTGAGATACGACAGGCCGTCCACCTACCCCCTTCTTCTTCTTCTTCTTCTTTCTTCTTCTTCTTCTTCTTCTTCTTCTTCTTCTTCTTCTTCTTCTTCTTCTTCTTCTTCTTCTCTCCTCCTCCTCCTCCTCCTCTCGTCTTCTTCGTCTTCCCCTCCTCCCCCTCGTGTTTTCATCTTCCTCCATAACCTTTCTTCTTCTTCGTCGTCTTCCCCTTCTCCCCCACTCGTTTTTTTTCTCCTCCTCCTCTTCTCCATCTTCTTCTCCTTCTTCTTCTTCTTCTCCATCTTCTTCTAGTTCGTCGGCATTCGGTAGGTCACTTGAGACACATTCTTTTTTCAATTTTGTTTTTGTAAGTGGTTAGTATGATCTCCACTCTATGAACTGGTGGCAAGTTTGGTTAAAATGACCCTTGGGTTTTGTTATGAATGGCCTGACAAGTGGTCTGAAAATTGAGGCCTCCGTTAACCGTCTCTCAACAGGTTCACAAGCGGTTAACAGGGACCCCCACTTTTCAGCTCTGGTTAACCCCCTCAACCCTGAAAAGTGCATTGGAGATCATTTTTTTTAGTTTTTTCTGTTTGTTTCTTTTTGCCCTGTTTTATTTTTGCTCAAGGTCTGTGTGTGCCAAGTTTGGTGTTTGTTGGGGTCTTGGAGTTGACTGTTTTGGCTAGCCCTGAAAAATCCTGAAAATCCTGAAAACTGAAATGGGTGAATTTTGCATGAAAACACACTTTTGCCTTGCTGTTTATGATCTCCACTCTATGAATTGGTGGCAAGTTTGGTTAAAATGACCCTTGGGTTTTGTTATAAATGGCCTGACAAGTGGTGAGTGATGGATGGATGGATGATGGATGATGGATGATGGAGATTGGCGAGATGGGATGGAGGGAGGGATGGATGGATGGAGAAAGGCAGGGAGTGAGTAGGGAAGGAGGGGAAGAAGAAGAGGAGAGAAGAAGACCTAGCGAATGGAGCAGAAGCAGAAGCAGAAGCAGAAGAAGAAGAAGAAGAAGAAGAAGAAGAAGAAGAAGAAGAAGAAGAAGAAGAGAGGGATGGATGGATGGGGGGATGGAGAAAGGCAGGGGGTGAGTAGGGAAGGAGGGGAAGAAGAAGAGGAGAGAAGAAGACCTAGCGAATGGAG